GTCCCACATTATTCTTAGGTTTTCTTCTTTTTCCTTCTTTTTTGAGTCTACTTTTTGCTCTAGCAGATCAGTGGTGACAATTTTGTCTTCAATTTCACTGATTCTGTGTTCCATCTCATCAATTCTGCTCATATGTCCCTCCATCATCTTGACAGGCTCTGAAACATTGGACCTTATATTTTGAATTGTGGATTCTTGTTTTTCCAGTGCCGCTAATGCCTCGTTTGTTTTCTCTGCAATGTTCTGCATTGTTTGTTTGGTTGTTTTTTTTTGAGCTCCTCCTGGTCTTTGCTTGTAGTATACTGTAATTCATCAAGTTTGTCTTTCATCCATTGGATATATGCAGTCACTCGTCTTTTAAATTCTGTGTCAGAAAGTTCCATGAGACTTTCTGGCTTCAGGTAATCCACTGGAACTGTGTTGCCCTTTGTGAGTGACATCTTGCTTTGCTCTGTGTATTGTCTGGCATAGTTTGCTTTCTTTGAGACATTGATATGTGTTCTTGATCTGAAGACAATGCTCTTGAGATCAGTTAGACAGCTACTGAACTTGTGCATTTCTCTGGCTTTCTGACTTCAGAAAAATGTCAGTTCAGAGCTTGCTAGGGCAATCTCTTGTTGCTAAGACAGGTCAAGGTGCTCCCGTTTAAAGGCAAGTTGATTACCCAGACGGGTAGGCACTGGTGTAGAGCCAAATGGGGTGAGGCAGGCAAAGGGTTGGGTGATCGCAAGGGCAGGTCAAACACTTGGGAGACCTTGCTCAAACCTCTGCTGTCTCAGTGTGCTCATGACTGGGGTCCCTACTCAAATTCCTACTGTCCATTTCCTACCCAGTGGTTTTCTCAGTACTTCCTGCCTGGTGGCACTTACGCAGGTACCCTCCCACAACAGCCCTGCTCCAGCAGGGTCCTGGATCCAACAGAATCCGAAAAGTCAAGGTCAAATTCCCATCGACCCACTAGCCTCTAGTTTGTCTGCAGAGTCCACAGAACCCAGCTGGCTGGCTTATTTTGGGCAGTTGGTGTAGCCCTAGAGAGCTCGGCCAAATTCCCCACCAGTGGGCATGCCCTTAGGTGCTCTCCCAGGTAATCAGCAATGCCCCAGTAAACACAGCCAAGATCCTACCGGCCTTTCTCCTGCCAGGTTAGTTCCGCAACAGCTCGGCTGATAGCTGCTCCGGGTGACGGCTGGATCCGCAGTGGTGCCCTGAGGTCACAGGGCTGTGGTGGGGGCTGAGGTGTGTGGTTGTGGAGCTTCAAGGGGGGCAGGGGAAGGGGAGGAAAGCAAGGGACTAGGGGGCCAAAGGAGCACAGGGCTTGGACACTACCACCAAGAGGTAGGGGGCGGGGCTTGGGCGCTGCTGGGGGTTTATGCAGCAGAACACTGTGTGTTGGGGGTCACGCAGGCGCTGGCTGCAGGGGGGGTCACACAGTGGCTGGTAGTCTTCGCTCCTCTGGGGTCTTATGGTGTTCGCTCCTCTGGAGTTCCACGGTGGCTGGCTAACTGTTGCTCTTCCCTGGTCTCTTCTCGGCCCCGCTGGCAGCGGAGTTCTGGCTGGCGGCAGAGTTCCAGCTGGTGGTGCCCTTGCTCTTTTTTACACTCACATTTCAAACAAAATGGAATAAAGCTAAATTCATGCTCGTGATAGTGTACAATTTTGTCCTAGCTCCACCTTTGAGCTATGGTGCTGGAAAAAAGTATTGAATGTACCATGGACTGCTAAAAAACTGAACAGGTTCATCCTGGAGAAAGTTAAACCAGGCTGCTCCTTGGAGGCAAGGATTCTGAGGCTTCATCTGACGTACTTTGGACATGATGCAAGGAGGGACCGGTCCTTGGAACTGGACTTCATGCTTGGGAGGATGGAGGGACAGCACAGGAAAGGAAGACCCTCTATGAGGATAATCAGGGTGGGTGTGTCAGAGACAGTGAGATTGGCACAGGACAGAGTAGAATTTAGGGCTGTTGTACATAGGTTCGCTATGAGTCGCAAGCAACTCAACGACACATAACAACAACAACCATTAAAACTCAAGTTTGGCGAGCTCTGGTGGCCTAGTGGCAAGAAGCTGCACTGCAGTCCTAGAAGTACACGGTTCGAATCCACCAGATGCTCTGCTGGAGAAGGAGGAAAAATCTACTCCTGTACCAGTCAGATCTGATTTGACGGTACACACATACAAAACAATAAAAATAATAATAAAAAAACAAAAAAAACCTTCAAGCTTTACTTTAGATTGGCAGCCAAGGGAATTACCTGGAATGACAAAGCAAGGAGCTGGGAGCAATACCATACATTTATTATGCAATTTTTGTTCAAAAGGACACAAATCTAGTAGGATTCTAAATGTGAAGAAGAAATGAGTCAGAGCCAGGATGGTTTTGGGGAAGATAAGATCCAATGTAGGGCCTAGTGCTCAGCCAGAAGCAGGGCTGCATTCCACCTTCAACAGGTCCCTCTGGTTCTTTTCCTAAAGTGAGGGAGGGAGGACAAGATGACCACATAAGGGAGGAAAGGACACTTTCTCAGCCAAAGCTGATTGGCTCTGGAGCCAGCCCGAGTCCAGAATGAGTCTCATGACACCTGTTGTACAGTGCCCAGAAATTCTAGCAGGGGTCAGAACTTTTTGAGGGTCTCCTAGTGTGATCCAGGATTTCTCCTGGTTGAACCGCCACTAGGGCAATATTGTGCCACATGCGACCCTCTAAGACAGGCTTTTTACTCTTCAAAACGTCATTTGTCAATTCTTGAGCTCTCTGGACTTTTGTGCCACCCCAACACACTGAAAAACACTCTCAGGACTTACCTCCTCAACCAGGGGTCTTCTACAACAACACAAACAAACAGAGGCCAGAGGAATCAGGGGGGCTAAAGATGCCACCAGCAACAGGACCCAGATACCCAACAGCATGGCCTGGAGGCTTCTGAGAAGGGTCTGGGGACAGAAGGCCACAACCTTAGGCAGAATGTGGGCTGCCATTCCTGCTGTGTTCTGTCTAATTCACTACTGACACGTGTATGCTCCATCTCTTTGTACCACCCTCATTGGGCTTCTAGGTCTTATCCGTCAGTGTTGGGATGGCTGTGAGTGACTCCTTGACAGCTTCTAGGATTTACAAGGATTGAAGGGGAGTCTAAATTTCACACTCTCACTTCTCTTCCCCAATGCTTTGAACATGTGTGGCATCTATTATTCTTTTCGTCCTGTTTCCCACTAGTGTGTAAGGTCCTAACAGCCAGAGATGTTCCTTCTCATGCTGTGTCTCTAGTCCCAGTGACCCTGCTCGTGTTAATTGAATCACAAACACTGGGGCTGGAGAGGTCCTCTGTCTGCCTGCTGGTGGCTACCCATGCAGCCCACTCACCACCACCATGACCACATAGGTGAGGCATATGTGCAGTCTTCGGTCTTCTTCTGGGCTCAGTGTGCTGGGTGGTGCGGTGGGCCCTCTCTGAGTTGAAGAAGTGTCACAGATGTTGTCTCCAGAATATAAGAAGACCCAGTAGAACCCATCAGCCCCTATTTTAACAGCAGCAACAGCTGTGGAGAAAGCTGCCAGGGCAAGTAGGGTCCTCAGGAAGCTCTGTGGAGAGGACAGAGAATAGTGTAGTGAACTCACAGCCCTCTTCTGGATCCCAGCCTGGGGAGGCTGATGCGTGGGGTGATCTAACTTACCCAACAGCGACCACCATGCTTCTCTTCAAGGAAGGCAGCAGCTCCAGCCAGGACAGACTGGGGAGAAATGAAAGCAGGAGCAGGGTGAATGCAGGAAGGGCAGCTTCCTCGTCATCAGCTTCTCTTTGTTCACTTGTACACTCATCAGGTCCTTGACCAGCAGGCTGCTGCCACAAGGTTGAGGGTTTAGGGCAGGGATGACCTGAGGCTGCCGGACACTGCTACAGCCACGTCTAAAGTGCTTGCAGTCAGGACCAGCCTGAGGTCTTGTGGGTGGAAGAAAACCCCCTGTGTCTGTGAGGAGGCATGTGTCACGGGACCTGAAGAAGCTCTCAGCACAGCTGGATGAAACTTTCTGGAGGTGTGTTATCCCTGGATGGATGAGTGCCCTCTCCTTAGTTGTGTGTTTTGCTGTTATAAAGTGTTATTTTTGTTATTGTTGTCATGTGCTGTTGAGTTGTTTGCGATTCATAGCAACCCTATGTACAACAGCACTGAAGCCTGCTCTGTTCTGTGCCAACTTTACTCTCTCTGACACACCTACCCTCATTACCCCACTCACTGTATCAGTTAATCTCATCGATGGTCTCCCTTTCTATCTCCATCCCTTCACCCTTCCAAGCATGATGTCCCTCTGTTGTAAAGTACTGGTGTATTTAAAGGTCCCTCAGTGTTCCATGACCAATGATCCAAGCTCCTATTGCAGAATGCTTGCATGTCTAGCAGCTGACTTTAGTTGATGTTGGTAAGTGGCATCACAGGCACTGGGAGGGGGCCTGGAGGGACGGCACTTCCTTGTGCAATGTATGCTTTCCAGCCTGTGCTGCCTCTCTGCAAGCTTCTGGGCTCAGAATCAGGTCCCCAGAGACTACCCCTCTTTAACACCAAGGGCTACTCAGCATTTACTTGTCTGAGTTATTCCTTATCCCTTGTAATGAAGTCCTCAGAATTGGAGGTAAAGGTACGGAGTCCTTGACATCCTTTGAGGTCCCTTACCTCATCTATCTTGTTTCTAGAGTCCCACCCTCTGACTGATGGTCCCTCCCTCCTGAGTAAGAGCTGAGAAAAACAAAACAAAATTGAGAAAAAGTGGTCTGTAAAATGTAGAGGAAAGTTTGGGAGCTGGTCCTGAAGACCTTCCAGGAAGAGAAGCTCTCAGGAAAATGAGATGATGAGGTGGTGACTGTGTAGATGATGGAAAGAGGCCGCAATGTGGCAGGAAAGCAGTGGATGAGGATCAGAGGCTGGCTGACAATTGGACACGTGGCTTCATTTGCTTCAACTATTTTCATATGTAGAGGGGGATTAGCCTGAGGACATCAGGACTTTTTGTTCTCTAGCATTCTCATTTTGATCAATAATATTCTCTTTGTGATCTCTAACATTCCATGACACAGTGCTGAGGGGGATGGGAGTAAAGAAGATAGTAACTATAGTGCAGATTACCTAATAGGGCTTTTGCAGTCATTGTCTTCATCAACACCTCCAAGAGCCCATTCTCTGATTGCTGTTTAGTCAGAATCAAATCATAACTGACCCTGCAGTAGATTTTCTGATGCTGCAAATTATATGGGAACTCTCTCTCTGGAGCCACTGGTGGATTTGAACCATGGGAGCCTCCCCTTTTGTTTTTTGTTGTTGTTGTTGCAACTCATAGCGACCCTAAAACTGACTCTACTCTGTGCCAACCTCATTGTCTCTGAGACACCTACTCTCACTATCCCGATCATTGAATAGATCCATCTCATCAAAGGTCTTCTCCTGCACTGTCCCTCCACTCTCTCGAACATGATGTCCCTCTCCAAGGATTGGTCCCTCCTTGCAACAAGCCCAAAATATGTCAGACAAAGCTTCAGAACCCTTGCCTCCAGGGAGCAGCCCAGCTTCACCCTCTCTAGGATGAACCTGTTTGTTCTCTTGGCAGTCCATGGTATATTCAATTCTCTTCTCCACCACCACAACTCAAAGACATCAATTATCTTTCTATCATCCCTAGGCACTGTCTAGCTCTCCAATGTATAGCACGTAATTGCAAAGACTATAGCCCGGATCAGGCACACCTTATTCTCCAGCCTGACGTCATTGCTCTTCAGTACTCTGGAGAGGTCCCTGACAGCTGATTTTCCCAATGCAATTTGTCTCTTGATTTCCTGGCTGCTGGTACCAAGAGTGTTGATTGTGGAGCCAAGCAAACTAAAACTGTTAACTATCTCAATCTTTTCACCATCCATACTGATGCTGCCAATTGAACTAGGGGTGAGAATCTTTGTCTTCTTGATGTTGAGCTTCAATCCATATTGAAGGTTGCAGTCCTTGACCTTCTGCAGCAAGCACTTCAGGTTGTCCTCACTTTCAGCTGGCCACCTGAATGTTCCCATTCCAAAAAAAAAAAAGGTAACCCGACAGAGTGTGGGAATCATTGAACGATATCATTAATTTTACATGCAAGCAAGATTCTGCTGAAAATTATCCAGAAACAACTGGAGCAACATGTCAACAGAGAACTGCCAGATGTGCAGGCTGGGTTTAGAAGAGGTTGTGGTACAGGGACATTATAGCTATTGTTAGGTAGATCTTGGCAGAAAGCAGAGAGTACCAGAGGAATGTCTATCTGTGCTTCATTGACTATGCAAAGGCTTTTGACTGTGTGGATCACAACAAGCTGTGGCTAACTCTGAGAAGAATGGGAATCTCAGAACATTTGATCATGCTAATGCAAAACCTATACTTGGACCAACAGGCAGTCATCAGAACAGAGCAAGGAAACACTGCATGGTTCAAAATTGGGAAGGGCATTTGCCAGGGATGTATTCTGTCTCCGTACTTTTTCAAACTGTATGCAGAACAGATCATATGGGATGCTGGGCTGTACAAGGAGGAATGTGGCATCAGGATTGGTGGAAGAGTCATCAACAACCTGCATTATGCAGATGACACAACCACTTTTGTTAGCAGTGCAATTACTTTGGACAATGCCACCACAGTTCTCTTGTTGATGTTTGGTGTCATTCAGTCAACAAAGAATCACAGACCCTACGAATAATAGGTCTGAACCTTGCTCTGCCCTCTACTGTTCTCTCCATTTCTGATATAATTGACCATTTGATATAGCTACTGTGCCAGTCCATCATGTTGGTGGTCTTCCTCTCCTTCACTGACCCTTCACCCTTGCAAGCATATATGTTTTTTCCAAAGACTGGCCTCTCTTCACAACATGCTTAAAGTATGTGAGATGAAGTTTCACCACCTTTGCCTCTAAGGAGCACTGCCTGGCTGCATTTTTTCTAAGAGTTCTGTTGTTATTGTGGTTGTGTCAGGTGTCATTGAATTGAGTATGACTCATAGCAAACTAATGAGCAACATATCTGAATCCTGTCCTATCTTGTACCATGCTCACCATCTTTGATACACTTGAACCCATTGCTGCAGTCACTATCCATCTCATTGGGGGTCTTCTTCTCTTTTGCTGACCCCCCACTTTTCCAAATATGACAGATGAAATTTTACCATCCTTGCCTCCAAGGAGCACACAGGCTGCATCCTTTACAAAAGACACTTGTTTATTCTTTTGACAGTTCATGGGATATTCAGTACTATTCTCAAACACCGCAACTCAGAGGCATCAAATATTTTTCTGTCATCCTTATTGTCAATTTTTCAGATGTATAACATGTTATTGAAAAAACAACTATAATTTAAATCAGGTGCACCTTAGTCTTCAAATTGAAATTCTTGTTCTACAATATTTAGGAGAGGTCCAAGATAGTGGACTTGCCACAAATGATGCCTCTCCGTATCTCCTTACTGCTATTACCAAGGATGTTGATTTTAGACTCAAGCAAGATGAAATTATTAACAATTTTTCAGTCCTTTCTCCACGTATCTTGATGTTGCTCACTGGTCCGGTGGTAAGAACCTTTGTCTTCTTGAGGTTAAGATGCAATTCCTATTGAAGGATGTAGTTTTTGCTCTTCTGCAACAAGTGCTTCAGTTCCTCCTCACTTTCAGCAAGCAAGATAGTGTTATCTGCATAGCACAGGTTGTTGATGAATCTTCCTCCAATTTTGATGCCACATGAACTATGTGCTCAGCATACAGATTGGGTAGGTATGGAGAAATGTTACATCCCTGACACATACTGTTCCTGATTTTAAACCATACAGTGTTTCCTTCATGTTTGTGGTCCATCAACTTCATTGCTTACTGTAAATAAAGTAAATTACACTGCTTGATTGAGATCTCCAGGGAGGTTAGTAAGTGAAAAAAAGAGAGAGAGAGATGTATCTCATTAAGGTGAAGATTGTTCCATTTTGCCATCCAGTCATAGTAGAGGCAGAGAGGGGAGTTCTGGCAACCTACTGGATAGAAGGTTGTGCTGTCAACCCAAAGGCAAGCAGTTTGAATGCACCAGTTACTTAATGGGAGATGGACAGTCTCCTCCTGTTTGATTTATAGCCTCTGACAATCTGTTGGAAAGTCAACTATGGGTTAGTTCTCACTCACTAGCAGTGAAAAAGAGAATGAGAGGCAGAAAATGAGGGTCTCACTACCATCCCAAGAGGTAAAAAGAAGAGCCAAGGACTGCTGAGAGCCCTGTGGATCTACAGAACTTGTGAGCACCAGAGATGGAGAGTTGTAATAAGAAGAGATGGTATAAGGTCATAAGAGTGCAAGAGGGCATTAGATGAGATGGTGATGCCGGTAGAAGCAGTAGAGATAGCAGAGACTAGAGGTGGTATGAGACAGAGCTGTGGACTCCTTGCCATGCAGTGAGGGATCTGAGTGTTGAGTCATTGAGAGGATGCCTTCAGGTGCTTGCCGGAACTAGGTTTGTCGATCCTTGGAACTAGAGCAGAGTACCTTTGAGCCCAGACTTTCCAATGCATAACTGGAAGAACTAGAAAAGTTTTGTGACTCATTTACCTGAGCAGCTCAGAGACGCAAAAGCTTTCAGGTCAAGGGCCAGAGTTAGAGGTTTAGACTTTCAGAACAAGAGAGACGATTCTTCGCTGATTGAAGAACCATATCCTGAGTGGTTCCAGAACCCCAATTGTAACCCATGTTAAACTCTGTAATTGTGAGTATTGTCTGAGAGATCATTGTGGCCATTGCGATGAATTATCAAACCCAGTAGATAATCAGTAAGTACTGTGGGATGGGAGATTGGTGTTGGAATTGTCAGGAAGGATTGAGCGTATGGAGCATGAAAGCATGTGTGAGCTCCTTAGAATTGGCTTTGATTTGCTGTTGTTAATGAGCTGCTGTTGTTAATGAGTATTCTCCCCCTTTGAGAAGTTAGTGGAGGTCAGATGCCACTGCCCCCATATCCATGCCTTTTTTGCTGTCATGATGGTTGTATCTCTATCACCCTTCTGTCCGTGCCACTCACCACTGCCCCCGTCCAGATGGCAGTCCCTGAGCTCAGCAGGTAGAACTCGCAGATGTACAGGAATCCTCCCAAGACTCCGCTTAAGACACCCAGCACGATCTGCATCACCTGAAAGACAGGGAGCCTCACACCCGGAGTGAGTGGATTCATGGTCAGTCTGTGCCCCAGATCTATGCCCTAGCTTGAGGTCCTCATCACCCCAGGCATTTTAAGACCTGGAGCAGCTTATATAAGCCATTTCTTAGCAGCATTTTTAGGAGCCCCAGGTGGTGTCTTTCTAGTGATTCAAATCTACCAGCTGCTCCACTGGTGGAATGCCACACAATTAATTAATGCCGTACAATTAATTTGTAGCATCAGAAAAGCCTCTGAAGGGTCAGCTGTGATTCATTCCAAATCAATAACAATGAGAGAGTATCTACTTGGTGGCCATAAAAGTCACTCCAAGGAGCTTGAGGACCTCATCACTTGAGGTCCTTATCACTCCTGAAAACAAGTACAAATTCCAACCCATCCTGAACCTGGTTGAGAGAGGTATCAGGGCAGGAGGGTGTTTAACCCAGAGGGCTGTAAATGGACAGTATCTCTCATTCTTCCTTATCCCTCATGTCACTTTAGCCCACAGACTATCAGAACCACTTTTTTGATTGAGATGGTTGGCAAGCAAGAAAGAAAAATGCAAAACAGAACACTAGTAAGGTGACTTCTTTTAAAATGAATTCTGCTTTTACCTGGAGCAAAAACAGCAGCAAGGAGGGACTGCCCTTGGCTTAGTGTGAGGGCTTTGGATGCTCCAGTGCAGTTCCACATGGAAGGTGACTGTACTCACCCAAGCTGCCACAAGAAGTCGACTGCTCCCTGGGGCCTGGGTGGTAGTGCCCTTGGATTGGATCCTGGACTGCAACTGAAAGCATGCAGACAGTAGAAAGTTGTCCAGAAAAGATTCCTGGTGGACATACATGTTGATGTGGAGAGGTTGGGGTACCACAGAGTTTTGCTCATCACTGTCCTTAGACTTTTCACAAGTGGCCATCAGTCTGTGGGGAGGAAAGAGCACCACTGAGGACAAGGTAGCCTATAATGGTTACAAGCTTCAAAGATTGTGTTGGTACTGGGGAGGATAGGCAGGGGAGATGGAAACACTGTGGTGAGAGTCCTGATGCTTGGGGCCATTTTGTTCAAAATGGCTTTCCTAATCCATTGGCTTTGATTATTTCACATGGGTGGGTGAATTAGGCTAATGATGTGCTTGAGGTATTAGCACCTTATGGATCGAAGCATGCAAACAATGTATGTAGACAACAAGTGATGGGATTTGTCAGTCTTGCCATTCCACCAGAGTTAAAAAGAGCAGGTTTAGCAGTAGAAAATTAGTCTTGCTACCAGCAAGAAAGAATAAGTGGAGGGTCCATTTGGATCAGAGATTCCTGCATTAGTTAGACTGAGAACTACATAAGAGGAGTAGCAGCAGCAGCAGCAGCAGCAGCAGCAATGGAAAACCAGAGACTAAAGTGAGACAGAGCTGAGAGGGGTCTGTCCCCCTATAGAGCTAGAACCAGAGGACCTCAATTGATCTTGCTGGAGGATTAGGTGGTAAGGAGAGATGCCATAAGTGGCAGAACTAAAAGGATTCCATTAATACAGGCCTGAAGCTTTGAGACTGAATGTCAAAGGCCCTTTGAGCACACCTGAGAAGCTGGTCTGATTGAAGAATGGTCCTGTTTCCATTCTGAATTATAACCTGTTAACTTCCCTATAAAGAACTCATAATTATGAGTATTATCTGTGGTCATTGCAACAGATCTGTAGGCCTAGAGTAGACCAATGAGAGCCCTAGAAGGGATGGTTGGTGTTAGAATTGGCAGAAGTAGGTATGGGGAGTGTAGAAGCATGTCTGACCTCTTACGAATCAGATTTGTGCTGTGGATATTGTGGATGGAGACAATTTCCCTTGTGGAGTTGATAGAGGTCAGAGTGGTGTCTGTCATCTTTTTCACCCTGATCACCCAGCTGCACCCTGATTTGGTTCAAGAATGTTAGGATAGGGGTAGGATCTAAACCTTCTGTGGCTTCTCTTTGCAGCTGGAAATCCTCAAACCTTTGGCTAAGGTTTTTCTGGGTAACTACAGGGTTGACGCCTAGCTCCTCATTCTTCACTTCTCTTTCTCCCAATCAACTTCCTTTCTTTTCTATCTAGGTTCTCCTAACCAACTTCCTTTTCTTTTCATCTGAGTCCTTCTCCAGCAGAGGGTCCTCTTAGCTCTCCCTTTGCTCAACTGCTGTGGCCCCCATATTTTCCCTTTATTACCTCAGGGTTTGGGTCCAGTTATGCTTCTAATTGCCTCACACTCTTACTCTTTTTGAAGATGTGTGATCATGGCCTGCTCTCATCTCTGTGCCCTTTCTTATATCTATCATCTATCTATCTATCTATCTATCTATCTATCTATCTATCTATC